TCACACAGGTTATTAAAAATCTAAACCAAATTCAAAACTATGCACAAGGTATTGAGTTATAGCGTGTTGTTTCTTAACACATACTCCATCCTAAATAATGTATACATAAATATGTAATATTATTCAGTTAAAGCATTATCATTGATTATAAATACTAGTATTTATAATYAATGGTATTATTTAAATAAAAAAATAAAAATAAATTCATATTTTTGAAGATGAACATATTGACTATAGAAGCATGATGAGTATTTTTAATAATGATCTAACAAAATAATATTTTGTTGTCATAAGTTCCGCAAACTTAGATAAAATATTATACTATTTTATACCTAACTATTAAAAATGTTGGTAGATAATCGCAAGCACATATACATGTCTCTGTTCAAAGTATAATGGTTAGCTTGATTTTTAATTAAAAATTATGGTTTTATCATTAGTTTAGATTCACAATATTGAATTTTAGTTAACTATACATACCTTTTATTGATCATTAACTGGCACAATCTTGAGGTATATTGAATGTTCTGTTTTAAAAATGATTATGTATTAATTTTATTCAAAAACATTTTGGAACAAGTTATATTTTATATGATATATTTTTATGATTTTAGAGTGAGTACAAAGTTATGGAATCCATTGAAGACGACGATTTTGAGGTTGACAACAGTCATCTTTTTTTAAATGATGAAGTTATTAACCAATATATGGATCTAATCACAGAACGTTCACCTAACACAGTATACGCATTTAATACATTTTTTTACCTATCTTTAACTGAAAAGGGATACTCTCATGTTTGTCGGTGGACAAAAAAAATTGATATATTCTCAAAAAAAAAATTGTTCATCCCTATTCATATCGAAGAAGATAATCACTGGTGTTTAGTTTATGTTAGCTTTCAACAAAAGTCCATAAAATATTATGACAGTATGGGCGGGCGTAATTTTAAATGCTTAAAACTAATATTGAAATATTTGATGTTGGAACATGAAGAYAAAAAAGGAGAATATTTTCATCCTAGCGGTTGGTTGTTAATGAATGTGAAAAATTGCCCTCAACAACAGAATTATTGGGATTGTGGAGTATTTGTTTGTATGTTTGCGGAATATTTGTCAAGAGATGCCCCATTAAATTTTTCACAAAGACACATGGATAAATTCAGAAGACAAATAACATTAGAAATCAAGAAGAAAAAATTAAAAAAATCTGTACCAGAAACTTGAGCTACTTTAACAATAATTAAATTATGCATATACTTTTTCAGATGTTTTTAGTGGTGAGACAACCTTATGCATGATTTAGTTTTAATAAGTAAAATGTAATTATATTGACATATTTACTATATAAATATATATTACATTGTTATTAAATTTTATTTCTAACCGAATACAATTCCTATTTAAATATAAACACTTTTTTACTATGATTTTTTAATAAATTATAATATATCATTGAATTAGAAGTAATTACATTAATGATAATAATGTATTTGATAACTTTCATTTTATTTCTAAACTTAAATTGTAATTTTATTTTAATGATTCAATTTTCTTAAACTGTATTATTTGAACTAAATGTATTGATCCCATAATAATTAATAACTGATTCATTGTATAAATAAGTATGTATAATAATTATAATTATATATTTGTATTAGGTATATTAATAATTCATATAACAATATTTATTGTTTTGCGTTGAAAAAAGTTATCTCAATTCTCAATTAATTTGATTAAATATTATTTGTCTAGAATAATATGTTTTTTTAAATTATGTAACTACATTCAATTTTTYTGTAAATCTGTTTTACAAACTATGTGGAGTGAATATTTTTTTTTTTTACATGRAAAACTACTGGTAATACATAATATATGTTTTGGTTAAAGTATTGTTATGTGGCCTAGTAGTTAATTATAAGATATCCATAGTGAGAGTTGTGGGACTCTAAAAAGGATCTTAATTAAATTTTAATAACAAAAACTTAATTTCAGTGTTATTGGGTTTAATTGCCTACTGTTCACTATGTTGGACTTGGGTAAATTAAATTTTACTCATGTTACAGCTGCGTCATAGTTTTGTTACATGAAAGGTGATATCTATAATGTCTACACTGAACTTAAAGACTCTGTATTGATAAAATAGGACTTAAAGTTAATTGTGTGTTTTAATATATTATTGTATCAGCCAGTAGTTAGTTGTTTATATCATGTCTGTATAGAGCTTATAAAATAGATGTTGTATAAGATGTAATGTAAGATAAATGTTACAGTAAAAATACCAGAAAGACCTATGTATAATCAATAAAACCTTGAATTTTCCAACAATCAAATTGATGATTACTGATAATTTTGCCGAAAGAACCAAATCAATTATTTTTAAAAAATACTGTTCATTTTCAATTGCAATATTTCATAAGTACCAACTACTGGTGACTAGATCCAATTTTCTATCAGAAACCATGTTCAAAGTTGAAGATCGAAGCAATTATTTAGTATAGGTAGGTTTATCTTGTATAATGTATATTATGTAGTGTGTGTAGACATGAGACACAGAAACAAAATACCAATCGTATAATGATCACAATCTATAAATTATAATCCTGTATAATATCTGTGTACAAAAATAATTTAATGAAAATTAAGAAACGTGTCAAATGTAGTGATGATCCCTCACTAACGCCTATATTTTGAGTTCGACGACGTTAGATGACGATCAGGTTTTTCAAAGGAGACGTTAACAGGGTTTGTTGATTACACAACGTTAAAAGTTATTGTTAAATGTTTATTAAAGTATAATAAAATTATACAAATTTTGAGGACAGGACGTAAACTATCTGCCCGAGAAGTAAGTAATCTGTGCACTTAAAATAAATGGGAAGAACTTAGTCTGGCGGCTATGTGGAGTGCGCAGACTCTACGACCAGATAAGTTCTACATGTGTGTGAGATTGAACTAATTCTAATTCTGCTATGGACGAAGTCCTGTATTTATGCAGAATTTACGCGGCTAAAGTGTTACACTTAAGAGACCAGGAGGTGGATTAAAAAGTACCGACCTTGTTGCTATTGTTAAATGTAGTTGAAAGTCGTTCCTATTCGTAGTTTTCTTATAAATTCTAGGAATTGTAAGGAGTTTTTTTTACAAGGCTTGCAATGTACTCAATGTAGTATTGATTATTTATTGYTAATTGTTTTTTGGTTATTCGTTACTACTGCAAAGGTACGATTTATATATCTAATATTATTTGGGTATATAATATTTAAAATAGTAAATTGACTCTGTCTGCTTACTACAATAATTATAATCATCATTTGTCAATAATAGGTATATTGATACATTAATACGATATTTAATTTGAATTCACAGCATAATATTTTTATATCATCAAATAGGTAGGTACCTATTTTTAGGTAGGTACTAAAGATATTATTCTTAAATCATTTTATGGTAATTTTTTAATTTATTTATTAAGATTAAAATGTTTTAGAATATTATAAGCTATTAGCCTATTACAAGTCAGTCTATAAATTACAAGATTCTATAACTAATTATAATTAGTTTAAGATATTAGGATTGGTGTTTATAA